TTTGTGTGTCGTACTTCTCGTATCGCGCAGCCTACCGCTTTGGGCACACGTAAAAAAAGTACGTAAAAAAGATGCGTTCCACGCCGAAATTCGCGTTCGCAACGAGCTGGGCACCGACAGGGTGCCCTACGGCGCCCACACACTCCGCAACACCTTACCAACCGTTCACTGCGATGTTGGGAATTCGTGTGGTCGTTGCATGAATATAGCGCGTGCGTGCGTGCGCACGCGCGTCTGTGTGTTAGATCACGGCAACTGCATATGTTGTATGATTCAGTCACCATAACGCAACTGACGACCCCCGCTCTTCCCACACGTCAAGCAACAGCAAGTGCCGTTAACCGAACTGTGCTGTGAACGCAAAACAGATTCGAATAGGTCGCGTAGATAGCTAGCCCGACACATGATACCATAAGATTTGCGTCAGATATTCGACGTCTACATGCACGCGTAAGACAGCGGTATCAGCAGCAGCTTCGTCATACGTACGGATAGCACCGCATCGGACGTCACGTCTGACAGAGAAACTTGATCGGTAATTTTTTCTCACTTAAAAAGTCTACCTTGCACAACTTCAACCAACGATTATGCATTTCAACGAGCTGTGCATGGTTTAATGATCGATTGATTGATATGTGGGGTTTAACGTCCCAAAACCACCATATGATTATGAGAGACGCCGTAGTGAAGGGCTCCGGAAATTTCGACCACCTGGGGTTCTTTAACGTGCACCCAAATCTGAGCACACGGGCCTACAACATTTCCGCCTCCATCGGAAATGCAGCCGCCGCAGCCGGGATTCGAACCCGCGACCTGCAGGTCAGCAGCCGAGTACCTTAGCCACTAGACCGCCGCGGCGGGGCATGGTTTAATAACAAAAAGATAGTTCTAATATTGTGCCCGGCACATATATTACTCTCTCTCTAACTTGAAAAATTGGCGCGTGAATTGGGGCCAGAACAGCGCCAAAAAGCAGCACACGCAGAAATTGGCTCATATTCTAATATTATGACATCGTGATGTTGACTTTTCAGCTGACGCCGGCAATAACGTTCAAACGGCGGGCCAATAATGCCGGTCTTATTGGATGGCTCCGCCCATATTGGCTGCTACTTGTACAACCTGGCCCGATGTGTCCGTTCTAATAGGCCGGCACAGCCTATATGGGCGGAAAGTTCGGAAAGCTGGCCCAATATAACCAATCTAATAGACTGGCACAGCCATCATTGGCGGATTGTTGTTAACGCTGGTCCAACATAGCCGTTCTATTCGGCTGGCAGAACCAATATTGGGGGTACGTTGTCAACGCTGGTCCAACGTCGCCGTTCTATTTGGCTGGCATAGCCAATCTTGGCGGTACGTTGTGAAAACTGGGCCGTTCATGGGCCAGGCAATGCCGATCTATCCCCAATATTGGGCCAACCTTCTGTGCTGCCTGAGTTGGATTGCATTGGTGCAGGCTATCTGGGTTCTTGAACTCGCAGCCTCTGCAGATGGTTTCAGCTGGGTTCGGACAGACGTCAGACCGATGTCCCAGCTTTCCACAGACGTAACAAATATCGATGTTCTTGCGGTAAAGAGAGCACTGCAAAAGTGAAGGTCCATATCTCACGATTCTGGGCACCTTGTGTCCTTCGAACTCTATGATGATTGTCCCGGTGTCCTTGATTCTCTTGACCTGCAGCGCGAGCGGGTTGTTCACGTTCACAATCTTTCGGGTCAAAATGTCCTCAGTATCGCTTATGGGGATCCCGCGAATCACTCCTTCACAAGTATCGTGGGGTGCCGTGGCGCACGCGCTAACCTCGAAAACTCTGCCTCCAATGTCAATTTGCCTGACCTTGAGGTATATTGAAGCTGTGTCTTGGTCCGGAGTGCTTGCCACCATAATGTTCTGCTGCAAGTTGGAACTGATGATGTCTTGCATTGCCTCCTCCTCCTCTTTGATGCCGGCCGCCAGTACTATCACGTCTGCCTACGGCTACAGTGCCCATTCTCGAGATATTTAATCCTCCACGTGGTCGTAGCACAATTTTGCTGAAGTCCTTGGGTAGTGGCGGCATGCGTCCAGCTCGCACGATTGTATGCTTGGTATCATACCTACTACGACTGGCTCGAGCGTCTCCCGCAACGCCAGCCTTGGTCGAACCCTTGGCAGCAGGAACGCTAACCGCGGCTTGCTTATTCCTTGAGCGTCTCGTTTCGGCTTCTTTCCAACCCATGTCTTCCGTGCAATCCTCTGGAGAGATGTCCTCTCCATCTACTTCGGTATTCTATTCTCAGTTGCAGGCTCTGGAACGCTCAGAGCCTTGAGTCACGTTGGCGCCGGGTCGGCGCATCGGCGACAATCGCCTCCTTGGTTGTAAGGCTTAAATCCCCCGGTGGCGTTGCCGTGTAAAAATGCCCCCAAAACAGTTTAAAAGTCCACTCACCAGCACAAAGGTGGTATCTGCTGATTTCTTGAGAACTTAGGCACACGATGGGACTGAAAACTCGGCGACAAATTCGTGAATACCACAGGAAAGCATTCTTGAAAGCAGGAGCCGATCTTCGCACGTCCGCACTGGTCGGCACCTAGAGCGTCTCTCTTGGAGCTTTGATAAACTCTATCATTAACACCAACTTTCCACTATCTGTGAGTAAGTTTTTTGCACCGACCCGTAACACAAGTTGTGCAGGCAATGGAAACCTTAAAATGTTTAAATGTGGAAATGTATTTGCTAATGGTTATTCAAGTTAACTTGTGGTAAAATCTGAAACAAAAAATCACTTGAAGTAAATATTACACGCAAGTCTACTTTGACTTGTAAAAAGCTTTTTGTAAATCCTGCATATTCTCAAATAAAGTTAAGCTTATGTATACGAGTTTGGATGAGTCATCTGACATACACATATTTCTTTTTTCAGTTTTGATGTAAAGTCGACAGCTTTGATTTTTCAGCACACCGTTAAGCACAAATTATGCACAATTCTTTTTGTACGTCTATCTGCTGTACTTTCACGAGGCATACATTTTGTGTTTTTATTGTTTCTCTAAATATAATACTAAAGATATTTTTGTATTCGTTGCCGTGTATATTTAGTTAGATACAAGAAACCTTTGAAGCTACCCTGTCATTAGGTATGTATAGATTCAGATACATATTGACTGCGCGTCTGATCCTTACGTGTGATAAAGAAAGCCAGCCGCATCTCTCCATGGGAGAACACGAGTATATGTGTCGCAGAGTGGTAGGGGTATCACTTGAATGTCGCTTAATTGGGTGTGGTTCGAATGCTTTAGAGTTATTTCGTCTTTATCATTTTTATTTATTGAATAAAGAGAAGCGTTCCCTTCCAAGAGTGGTGTGACGCTGATGTTGGGTTGTGCCGTACTACCGGTTGAAGGTACTGTTGCTTCCTTTGCACATACTCAAGAGAATCAAAGCGTCAAGTCAAGCAAAAGCCAAGTAGAGAAAACCTTCACTGAATTATTCGAGCATGTGGTCTCGTGCCTACATATACGGAATGGCCAGTTAACAGATGTGCAGCGTGAGCTGTCGGTTTTCCCTAGCCGATGCTGCCTGCGTCGGCATTGCGAGGCGAGAGGGGACGGGGAGGTTGACCGTTGGCACGAGACGCAGACGCAAGCATGCGCGTTGGGAGTGTGTACGAAACCGCCGACGCAATATTTGGGATAGGTGTGACTTCGAAGAATCACAGCATGATCGCGGAGTGAATGACGATGAGGGGGTGAAGCTTTCATCAGTCTGTCCGTCCGTGCATCTGTCTGTGCGACAGCCCATGTTGTCTGTCCATGCCTCCATCAGTCCATCCGTCTACCATCCGTTCATGCGTCCGTGTGCGTGTCCGTGGTTCTCTACGTCTGTCCGTGCGTCCATCTGTCCATCCGTCGGTGCTTTCGTCCGTTCGAGCGTCCATGTGTCCATCCATTCCGTCCGTCCGATATTCCGTCCGCTCGTTCGTTCATCTCCGTCAGTCTGTCTGTCCGTGCGTTCATTCATTTGTCTTTCTGTCCCTCCGTCGATCTGTCTGTATGTCCATTCGTCCATTTTAGTGTCTGTCTGTCCGTCTAATCATCCGTCCGTTCATCTAGTGAGCATTCCTAGTACTGTCATTTCGCATCTTTTCATCATATAATGATCAAATACAAGTACCGCCATTCAACAGACCTTCCAAGGACTAAACGAGAGGCGACTATGTACTCATTACTACTTAATACATCGGGGACGCACAACCAACGGCTTAAGGAGCTTCACTTCTAAAATGCCCCTCAATTAAAAGCTCATCTAAGAGATCTACCCAATAAATATCTAAAACGGCTTTAGGCTCAATACACTTCTGTAACGACTTTTTGTATCAAATTGATAGAATAAGCACGGAATGACTTAATATAGATTAAAGGGGCAAATAAAACAAGTGATTGAAAGTAACTTCGGTGAGCAAAGCGTTGGCAGAAAAATCCAGAAATATGACAGTGGAAAATTTTAGAGGTTGTTAGCAATGCCACACCTATTAATCGGTCACAGGTTTTAAAATTGACGAAACGACGTTTGTGAGTGCTCGTACTGCGGAACGTTTCTCTGAGCACATTTTTCCGTTGGTAACATGCCTCGGGTAACATGTGTTCCAGAGTGATTTTACGCACACTCAGTTTACAATTGTGTGGAACGTTTGGGGGCAACTATGTTTTGATTGCATTGCCGGGCTCAGCCGAGCTACGCTATAGCAATATTTTAATTTTAAGGGTACCTTTCCTGAAATGTTTCGGACTTCTCTTGTGGAATACATTTTTTTTTTCAATTTGAACCAACCACGCACTATAAGCACACAGAGCACATATGTGCTAAGTGAATAAAGTCACTTGAAACCGAATTTGGTTGTGAAATCAACAGATTCGTACCCGGACGTACCACTCAACCACCTTTGTCCATCGTGGATAAAGGCGCTCTTGCTTTCCGTCCGCAATATGTGGGCCGACTCGATGACGTGGCGTTACGATGAGGCGCCAGGTCCATGCATATTACGAAGCTTCGCAAAATGCACTTGTCATACCGACAGCCATTAAATCACGTCTAATATTCTTCAACGAGGGTCCACCGGCTCTAAATTATGGCGTCCTTGGAACGGTGAGTGTTGTCACTTCAATTAAAAGAACAATGTTAGGCTAAACATTCGTAAATGTGGGTATGTGGCAATAAAAGTAGGTAACTAGCTTTTAGGACCTAGGTCTCAAGCTCACCTCATCTAGTACGCCACAATCACCAATTTTAGTCACCTATGAGCCGGCACAGTGGTTAAGCTTGAAATTGAAGCTGGGAGAGGGGGTGCGGGGAAGGGAAGCGACCAAAAAGAAAGCATCAATAGAAAGAAAGCTTTTACATTATGTCATATGAATAATATCTTGGGGGAGATTTGGCCTCGGCGTTTCAGACGCATATCTATAGCTCTCTGGATAATTATTCAATTGTGGAGGCCGGTCCTGAAATATAGATTTTCTTCCATGGCTGTGTTTCAACCCATACTGTTCCCATTCTCGTCTCACTGACTATGCGCTCTCGCAGTCCCGTCTGACCAATTACCAATGCGTTAATAACCGCTATATGTGAGTAAATAATGTAAGATGCGTTTCGCAAGGTCAAAAATACATTTTTGCCAAGCCGCCACCCACATGCAGATCGTGGGCCGCGTCTTTTACACCAACTTTTTTAATATGAATAAACACACAAATGAAAATTGTTAGGACAATAGTTATTTATTAGAGACTGTATACTTGCCGGGGGCCAGCTGTCTTTGTGTTCATTTTTCTTTCTACACTCAGAATTACAACCACTGCTAATACCATCCCCTAGCTTTCTTTGGAATTATTGTTTGAAAGTTTTCTTTGAAAAGGTGCTTATTCAGAAAGACGCGCTGGTCAACTTTCGAACTTCATATGTGTTTTGTTGTTACATCATTTTTTTAACCTAGGGGTGGCGTTTAGGCACGATTCCTCATTCGTGAGAGACTTAATTATAAGGATTCTGAAAGTTCTTTTCCATCGCACAGTTTTAAAAACAACGAACGATTCACCAACCAGCAGATAGTCAGCAACAAGATGATGCATGCCTATGATGTCACGAGAATTGCACAAGACGAAGTGGCCGAAACACGTCCTTGGGCCTCAGGTTTGTTCACAAGAGAATACTATCAAAGAGCGCTCTGTTTACGACCGTCCCACGGAGCCGCTGTGAGTACGTGAACCCGGACACCTTGGGTGTAAAGATAAAGCCGAACTTCGATTTTTTTAACACAAGACGCACACAACATGGAGGGTCTCAGAAAAATAAAAGCTCCTAAACAGCCAAGAGAATTACGGCATTAGTGCCACATCGCAACTACAGATGTTCAGCAAAGCAAAAAGAGTTTACGCCTTCATCTCGAACGCTGATTTTTCTGAGACATTCAATAAGACAATAATAAAACTTGGTTGATAACAGTGCCATCAATAGTTCCAGTTAGGTACTAAACAACAAAATACTGATGGTTTATAAAAACGAAGCACTGGTAATGCTTAAAAGTGGTCACTGACATTTTCCGAACATAAAATACGCAGTTGTGTACATGTACAGGTAATGAAGTGATAGTTGTGATGTTCACAATTCACTGAAATTGAGGGCTATGGTGTAAAGAAACATTATTCCGTGTTTATCTTGTCACAGGACACAATAGAAAGCAGAATTTTTTTGTGTTTTAAAGCAGCCTGACAACCTGAATCGTAAACGGGCTTTCATGCGTACTGATTCACTCTATATTTAGTCTAACTTTAATGTAGTTGCCCAAAGTGCAGTTGTGCAGCTTACATACGGCGACCATTTTTCGACTCGAGTGGTCATTGCAGACGATCATTGATATGAAGAAACTGTGACGTATAGCAATAAATTTTCATTGTTTCAAACGTACATGAAGTTTGTTCGCGCTGCCAAGCTTTTTTGTTGGTAATGTTTTCGCAATCAATCTATACCACTAAGCCCCTTTCTTTCACCTTCCAATAAAAACTCCTTGATAAAGCGTTGAAACTATGAGCAATTGCTAATTAATTCAAAATGCGATTTTCCTACAAATCTACATCAAACGCCCATCATGTTCGTATTTGTAGCCATTAGTAACAACTTCCGAGCTCACGCTGTGACGTCTTCTGTGCGACGTACTTCCTGTGCTCGAAGCTCTTCAAATGACTGCATATATTGAGGCCCAGATGCTCTTTGTGTTAACGATTTTCAAACATAAGATGCTCAGCTGGGGTGAGACAGACATCTCAATGCCACGGCGCCACTTTTCCGCAATCCAAACTCTATGTGGAGTGCGGGAGTACATAAACGGAGTGTATTGTAAGAGATATATGTTGTGCTATGTCGTTCCGCATAACTGAAAAAATGCTGAAAAGTGGCAAACTGAGGAGGTCTTGTTAACCTGCATAGCTTTTGTCTGACAGTAAAGCACTAAGCAGAACCAAGTCATTCGCACAAAAGGCACTACACGATACGCTAATTTGGTGTTTGTCGGCCTGTTTTATGCCTCAATGTAATGTACATTATAATACTTATTTATTATAACTCAACACATTGTCACAGTTGCTGAACTGTCATGCCCTTCTATCATTAGATTTCATGAAAAATCAAGTTTGAAAAGGTGACAGGGACTGTCAGTTGCCGAATCTGTTCACAAAAAAAAAAACTTTGCGCAATCAGTTCCTTACGACTAACGTAAAATATGCACTAAATATTGCAGACGTAACTTTCGTTTCTCTGAATAGTAGCAATAGTCAGCGATATTCGTTGATAATAAAATCGCTATAGAACCTTCATTCTTGTTATTTTCAGTGCGACATGTTTTGCGTGGCAGCTTTGATTAAAATGAAGCTGCAGGCGGTACCTTCTGCAATTATCATTTGTGCAGTGTTGGTATGAGACTTGTAGCTTTTGCGATTTTAAAATTTGCAGATACCGCACAAGGCTCGCCAGAAATTGGATAACTTGATCGACTCTGAGAACAGAGACGACCTTGTGGACGTGAAAATTGCTTACAGGGTCTTCTATTCACTGCCCTACCACGACCGGAGGCTCAAAATGGGTGGCCTCAACATCTCCACAGAACGCCTGTTCTTTATCGGCCACTGCTTGAAATGGTGCTCAAAAGAGAGCGACGTAGTACATCAGCAAGCGCCGTTCCACTTCCGCTGTGTCGTGCCGTTGATGAACATGCCGGAGTTCTCGAATGCGTCCGACTGTGCTGTAGGACAGCCAATGAGCCCGCAAGAAAAGTGCAATATCTGGTCGTAAAGTGATGCATATCTGCACACACTTTAATTCTACACATAATAATTTGTCCACCATTGATTGCTCAATGAAGCAAACAAGCTGAAGAATGAGTACTGACGATGCGGTCACGACGTAAAAGTATTTTGTATATTTTGTCTAGTATTGAGCAAGCAACTCCGGGACATTTTTTATTTGTATCTTCTGGCTACCTACGATATCTCCCGTATCTCGGATCAATAAGAGTAGTCAAGACTTTTGAAAAGCATTCTATGTAAAAGAGCTCCAGTTTTTATGGTTAAGTATTTCAATATGATCTATGATTTTTATAGGTACTTCAAAAAAATCACATAATGTACTTGATCGTTTTTCAGTTCAAAATATTAGCATAAAATATTCAATTAGAGAGAGATGTCTATGTGAACATTTAAACTCATTTGTTAAGACTTGAACCGGGTTCTAAAGCCGTAAATATTGGAAAGTTTGAATATGATAAAGAAGTGCGGTGTTTTTGCCTCATAACGATTACAGCATTTCGTCGCGTTGCTGCTTGCGAACGAACTATTAATATCTTATTAGTTCATACTCTCATTTATTAGGCTCTAATTATGATGCATTTAGTGGTCAGTCAACATGGACAAACAGAAGCCCCGACAAAATGTTAACCGAAACTTTACAACAAAAACATCAGTTGGTACAGGGGCGACAATATCAAGTGATTTACCTTGCATGCATGTGCCAAGCAGTTAAGGGTAAGCACAGTGCTGGTTATAAAATATTATTAATTTCCTGTTTTTTACTTGTGCACCGCGCCACTTTGTCGTTCACCACAGTGCCATGCACAGTACTCTAGCTTGCAGCGAGTGCACGTTTCAACAAGACGTTTTCTTGTTTTTGAGCACGTCATTGTCCTCTTCGTAACCACAATAACAAGTGCACAATGTTTTATTACTGTTTATTTACGCGGTACAATAGTGAACCTTCTGGATTCAATAAAAAACTGGCGGATCCGACGTGCAGTGGCATCGATGATATGCGAAGCACAAATGAGGAATGTTGATATGTCAGTTTAAAACAGCACAACGTTAGGAGGAGAGTTAATTATGTCGTACATGACTTACGATTCATCGTTATCATGTTTGGGCGTCTCATTTACCTTCGTCATCTATTCACGCCATCTGATACCAAATTTGGTATTTGTGGAGCTAGCCAAACGGCCGCGAGCGTGCTATGAGTGTACCTTGTAGTCAAGTTTTACACGACATGCACGCCATGATTATCATGTTTGGACATGTCGTTTACCTTCGTCGTCTATTCACGTCACGTCATACCACGTTTGGTATATGTGAAAATCGCGCAATGGCCGCGAGCGCATCATGAGTATGGCGTGTAGTCTTGTTGGTACATGACACGCCTATCTTGATTATCATATTAGCATTAGTAAATACCTTTGTCATCCATTAACATCACGTAACACCAAGCTTAGTATACGTGATGCTAGCGAAACTGCCACGAACGCATCAGAAGGGCCCAATATACTCCGACGTAACTTTGACACGCGCGCACGCTGGGTGCAACGACGCTACGCTAGCTAAACGCGAGCATTGTCTGACGCCAAGCGCGACCTACGCGACCAGCGTTTTTCAGCGTGGCGCGGTGGTAACCAGCACAAAATGCGGCATGCTGCATTTCGCGCTGATGAAGTTACTCAGACAGCACTGCGTTTGCATCTCTTCGTAATGGAGGGACGCCGGGCGCGCTCAAACGCGCATGCGTCCAAGGAACGCAGCGCGGCGCGCGCCTTCGAGTATATTGTCACAAAGGCACAGGAACGCAGGCACAAAAGCAGGGCGTTTACTTTCGTGACCAAACACCAAAAGCACAAACACCAGAGCACGCGCTCACAAAGCACTTCGTTATCCTCCTCAAAGGCTGGCCTGTATAGTTGCCAGCATACCTTGCGTCAATTCCCCCTTTTCAAGAGTGACCGTCCCGGTCGATTGACTAAAATGTTAGAGATAGCCATAAAAAAAGGTCACGTCAACGAAAAAACAAACAAACATAATCCCGCACTGTTGTGAATAATAAAAAAAGTTCGAAGTGTTCATAACTCGCGGGCGTAGTACGGTTTCATCCGTGCTACATGGACTACCTTCTGGACGTGGACGTCTTCGGTTTAAACTGTGATTGAAGCTTTGAGGAACTACCTCGTAATTCACGTCACTGAGGCAACGCACAACTTCGTAAGGCCCAAAGTAGTGTCGCAATGGCTTTTCCGAAAGCCCACAATGTTGAACTGGTGTCCACACCCATACATAGTCACCTGGTTGATAGTGGACGTTCCTTCGACCTTGGTTTTTTACGGCAAGCGTCGATATCTTGCTGCGTGCGAATGCGGTTCCGTGCAAGCTGGCGGGCTTCCTCGGCTTTCTCAACGAAGTCGTCAACGCTGTCATTTCCGCTGGTGTCCTGGTCTACGGGGAGCATAGCGTTTTACCCTCCTCTCGTTGATGGAATGATGAGTGTACGCGTGATTATAGAAGGCGAAAAGCCACTTGGAAAAAAATTCTTCTTAATCAGAGCCCAACAAACTGGAAGGATTATCAATTCCTTGCTGGCGTATTTAAGCGTACAGTGAACCGCGCAAAAGAAGCATACGACACTAGACATTTTCATTATCTTTATAAATCTAACAATAAGCGTGCTTTGTTCGCTTATCTTCGGACAAGAAAAGTACTGCCAGCGCTTTTAACGTTGCAGTCATGCGTCTTGACGCCGGTAGAAATCAACACCTCTCTGGAAGACATAGCGCAAGGTTTAGAAGGCCGCTTCACTGCTAATTTATTGGCTATTCAGTTCGTTCTGGTAAACTTGCATGAATTTCCAGAAGTTTCTTTAGCTGAATTGAGTCAGACAGTATTAAGCTTACCGAGGACGGCTCCCGGACCAGATGGGATTACGAACTCTATGTTGAAATGTTTACTCCAGGAATCGCCTAATATTTTGCTAGAACTAGTGAATTAACCGCTAGGGAACGCATGAATACCTCCAGAATAGGAAACTTGCCAAAATTTTATTGTTGATAAAAAATGAAAATGATGCATACACGTTGGATAACATAAGGTCGATCGCACTGACATTAAACTCAGTGAAATTGGTTGCGAGAATCATCAATATACGAAATAATGAACTTATTACCATGAGGTCAATTCTAAGTCCTTGTCAAATTGGGTTCAGGGCTGGTTGTTCAATTTGGGATGCCCACGTTGATCTAGAAAGTCGGCTTCAATTAGCTCGGCTACATGAAAAATATGCAGCTTTAGTTACCTTAGACATCGCTAAAACATATGATACCGTGGAGCACTGTATTTTGATAGATCAATTAGAATACCTTGATTTTCCATCATACATAGTAGCGTGGGTTCACAATTTTCTTGCAGACAGGAAATTTTATTGTTTTAAAGATGGGTTTTCATCATCTACTCATACGCAATTGAGGGGAGTACCGCAAGGCTCGGTGCTTTCCCCGGTGCTTTTTAATTTACTAATGAGCACCATTCCACGTAAACAGGACATAACAACTTATGTTTATGCAGACAATATCGCATTTTTTGCAATGGCAGATAACAGTCAGACGTTCTATGAACGGCTGCAGACTTACCTTAATATATTGGAGAGCTGGCTCGATGGCAACAGCTTTTTACTTAATCCAAGTAAATGTGCCCTCCTTATTTTCCCGCTGCAATACCCTGTGAATATCTCTCTGTCTTACCATCATGAGGATATACCACAGGTGGAATCTGTTAAATACCTTGGAATAATTTATCACACCTCGCCTAACTGGCGACGTCATATCGAATATATCGCCGGAAAAGGTGTGCGCGCCATTGGCATATTACGTAGGCTAAGCAACTACCGCATAGGTATGAGAAGAGACACATTGGTAATGATATATCGCATGTACGTTCGTCCCATTTCGGAATTTGGTTGTGTACTTTTCTCTGGAGTTCCAGCTTACAAGTTGCGGCCTCTAATTTTTCTGTAAAGAGAAACTTTGCGCTTATGCCTTGGCCTTCCCAAAACAGTTGCCAACAATGTGTTGTATCTCGAATCGAGGGTCCCACGGCTTTCTTGTAGAATTCGCCTTCTGACTGTTCAGACATTCTTAAGAATTTATGAATCACCAATACGACATTCAGAAACAGCCTTTATTTCTACCCTGGAATCATTTTTTTTGCTGCTAGATGGACGCGATTTCACACGCCACAAATTATATTTGTGCAAAATTTACTGGAGCCTCTAAACGTACGTATATGCGACATCATGCCGAGTCGTGATAACTCAGCCCCGGTGGAAATTCAGTTCGACGACATTTTTCCTAATAATGCAAAATTACTTCCCCGTAATATTTTGGATGGTTTACTACAAGTTCACCTGTGTAGTATTACAACGAACGTTATTATTGCTATAGACGCTCTCAGGCGTGCGCCACGCTGCGTTGCTTTGAAGCATGCGTGTTTCAGCGCGTCTGGCGTCCTTCCGTCACGAAAAGAGGGAGACGCAGTGTTGTCTGGGTAACGCATCGGCGCGAAATGCGGCATATTGCGTTTCGCGCTGGTTGCCGTGGGGGCCTTAGAGTAACAAGGTAAACGTATTACGTTACTCTACGGCCTGGCCACGCTGACAGACGCTGGTCGCGCCTGGCGTCAGAATATAGAGTGCTAGCGTTTTGCTAACGTAGCGTCGCTGTGCCCAGGGTGGGCACGCGTCAACGCTACATCGGAGTATATCAGGCCCTTCATGATGCGCTCGCGGCCGTTTTCCTAGCTCGACATATACCAAATTCGGTGTGACGTGACGTCAATGGACGACAAAATATATGACTGGCGCAAACATGATAATCCCGACACGCAGGTCATGTAAGAACATGAAAACATACCATGCTCATAGCGTGCTTGCGGCCGCTTTCCTAACTCCACATATACTAAATTTGGTATCACGTGACGTGAATAGATGATGAAGGT